TCTGGTGACAAATGCGTCATAGAACTATGAGTTAAACTTATTAAAAAATTTTATAGGATATAATATCATATAATATTCTAGGTCCAGCTGTTACCACCTACTGGATAAATTATATTAGAAATAAAATTTCACATACTACGTCATTCAGTTGTCGTAAGTGAGTATTGATTTTTTGGGCAGAGAGCAGCCATGATAATCATAAACTAGTCCATTCATAACTAATACTCATTATTATTGACTAGTAATTCATTCATCTTTCATTACAAAAAAAAGGTAATGTAATAGCCCGTTCAGACGCTTATTTTTAAACCAGTTCATAATCGCTGGGGTTTTTAAGACAGCATCGTGTTGCGTTCACATGTACTATCAGCCAAACCAGTTTAACTATTCTGACCTCTTCAGTCGGAGGTTAGAGTTAACTGCGCATGGGTAGCTTCATATTCTTTATTCGGTTCTCGCACGCTTTCGATAACATTGGCACTGTCTGACCCCAATATTTTCACAGGAATGTAACTAACTGCGTACTGCGCATGCTCGAAGCAAGCTGGAGCTGGGTTTTTTAAGCCAACCCGTTCAGACGGCTAAGATGAACCAGTTTAAAATAAAAAGCCTTCTCGAAGACAGGTCGCGAGCAGGGTTTTTTAAACTGGTTTATTTGCCCCACATTTGCGTTCAGACGCTTAAGTTAAACTGGTTTAACGATCCCCGGGTTTTTAAACCAGTTCAACTTAAGCGTCTGAACGGGCTATAAGTGAAAATGTCTAGTTTATTTCCAACGAATATATAATGAGGGATGCCTGAGTGCATGTAGAGGATTATGATTACCGGGAATAAAGATGAGGCCAAATTCAATGATTATTCTAATTTACTGGTACTGTGATTGTAAATGGTATTTATAGTACATCATTCTTATACAAAAGCACAACATACATAATTAGCCATGCAGATACCTAAAATAGATAGAAAAATGGGATTTCATGTCCACTCAAAACGAATAAAGGTGAAATCAGTCCGGTCTAAGTTCATGGGGGTAGAAATATTCTCAATGTGAACTCAGTTGAATATGGACCATGAAAACATTAGCTTACAGATACATCCTTATATAGTAGGGCCTACTTTGCTATTTACAATCGGAGCCTTGAAATTATTTGGATCAATACAGTGGTTTTCTTTTAATAATTTTTACATGTGCACAACCCCACCTTTCCAACCTATACACATTTTGGGGACAAACTAGCAAATTTAAATTACAGTGGTTGAAGCCAGAGAACCTGGTTAAAAAAATAGTAATTTGGTTAACTGTTGCCTACAATTGTGCAATCTAACACAAATTTGCATAACTCATGCATCAGAAGTAGGATTTAATGATCAAGGTTTCAATTCCAGAATGCAGATCACATAGCCACTAAAGTTTAAGAACAAAACCACAATCTAGGAAAAAGAAGGAGCTAAATGTCAACCTTGACAAAAAACATCCTATACAAATAATGCCAACAAATCTGTTAATTTTTATAATCAAAATATTTCATACAATGGGGATAAATTTGACAACAGCTGACTTACTGACAGTGAAACATGTCAACTTTCATTAAGGAAAAGGTGTACCGGTAGTTCAATAAAATAAATGAGTCTTGCAACAGCAGATCACATTCCAATTTTCAGATCCATAAAATCTATTTTGGTAAATAGACTATGCTATGTCAAACACAAAACTGTTAGATTTCTTCTTTTTCAAAAGACACACATTTCTATCAATTCTAAACAGTTAGTATCCTCACAATTAATTCAGTTCATTTAGTAAACAAGTGACATATAATGCTAAACCACAGTTCATTTTATTGTGTGAACAAATATTTCAATGGGTTTTCATCCCCCTCATACCATTTTTTATATGCTCACATTTCATGCGGGAGTATACAGTCCTGATCAACAAAACTTTGTCAATATCAATACTCTACAGAACAAGAGATTATTTTAGATTTGGTTTTTTTTTACGCATGCTGTGATTGTTTTGGTAGATATCAGCAGGAACCCATTCAAATTTCAAAGTCGCACATGAAGTCATTGCCCCTTTCCTTCAACCCTGTAAACACTATACAGCCCAGAGGTTATCCGAATAATTGCTGACGTTGTCATCTAGAAACATACATTAAACCCAATGGAAAATTAAGGGAAGCGCTTCAATTTTACAAAGTTATTTTATCCTTATTTTGTAAACGCTCTACAGGTAACAGTTTTTGAGATTTTTTTTCTGCAGATTTAATGGAATTGTTCACTTCATTGTAAAAAAGGAATCCTTTTACAATTCAGGGTAGCCCATCAATCTTATGCATAGTTATTGCACCTGACCCAAAATTTAACAGCAACATTTCAAAATGCTGCTGTTATATACATGTATGTATTGTCTGGCAACACTATTTCGTATTATCTTATATAATCTTAATGTCTATCACTCAGTCTCCAATATTCTCTGTTTATGCAGTTCATTATTTTGTAAATTCTAATTCACATATGCTTACCTATAAACCCAAACAATTTGATCAAGGGACACATTTATTACAAGCCGTCATTAGCAGATCACCTTTAGATCACATTCCTGAGGACCAACTTCATTATCCATATTTTGAAAATCTCAACAACACACAAGATTAATTTTTCATTTATTTATCCATGTAATTAATACTTCAAACGAAGTAATTATAAAAGAATCACACTTCTATAATAATTCCTCTTACAACCAAGGGTCAAACAATCATACTTTTAGTGTGAAAAAAAAGCCTGTAACTTTTATTATTCATTTTACCAGATGGTTTTACTGTACGACTTATGAGTAATCATTTTAACTTTAAACTTGCCTATTACCGTGTGTGTTACTGGCTTAAAATGTTATAACATAGACATTTATTTACACGATAAGTTCATATTCAGCTCTCTAGAACATCAGACAGCTCAGATATTGAGAGAATCAGTCAATGCCGCCACATCAATGTTAAACGTTAATAAAGCCAGAGACTGCAAATGATTGAACAGACAATCCACAGTTCAATGTCTATCAATATCATGGAAAAGCTACTTGATAATCGAGAATATCAAATGTGGGCAGAATCTTCATCTGCCAAACACTCATAACATTGACTGAAATATTCAATATATTTCATAAATCTTGCATCTTTAAGCCATTTAAAGATGCATTATGTAAAATTTTGATAAAAAGTTGGTCATTCTTGCTAGAAGAGTTCAAAAATAGACAATGCAAAATGACTATATTAAAAATTTCATTCAAATTACTTTATTTTGAGGCAAGATATTAGTATCTAAAGGTTTGACAACATGCGTGCACCGATAGTAACCACTGATTGTAACCATTTTTAAATTAAATCATTAAATGGCCGAACCTTTGAAATTAAAATCGGACTCATTCAATGGCATCGTGAAATGATTATGGTCTTGCCATGTTAATAATGTCTAATTAATAGTTTATATAACATTTAAGACCTAAAGAAAGACCTGCAATAAGAAGAGTTAGCTCTTGCATAATGCCTGCTTAAAGAATCTAATCATTGATGCATTTTCTTCCATATAGGTACATGTAGATGTTAAACAACCATGGTCATGAACTGTACTGGTTTGGTTTTAAACTATGGAAATTGTTCTAAAGCCGATTCACAACAACTGTTCTTTTCCAGTTCAAACATCTTTTTTTCATTAGCTAAATTATATAACCTAGAATTAAGTGTCGTTGGGTGACATGACACCAATAATTAGAAAACATCATGACGCAGCCTTGTGCCAAGTGTTTAAACTAGGTCAGTCAATACATGCTAGACTCACATTGTCTGAAGAGGTAACAAACACGAAAAACCACAAAAAAACAGAAAGAGTCAACACTTGTCAACCTTTCTAGCTATCATCATTTATCTTTTGTTTGAATAGCTGTGACTTCATTCAGTCATATCTTGCTACTTTGTTTTGCAAATAAAAATAAACACCACCACCATGATGAACTATGATCAGAAACAAAATAATCCTTTTTTTCCCTTTTAATTCACATTTTGTCTAGACTGAGCAATTATATTTATTTACTTATTGAATCATGTAATCTAGAGGTACAGCGTTGGTCAGGTCTGGAACCAGTCAAAGTCAAACGACAACTTCAACAAGAAGCCAAATTAGGGCCTACTCGATCAGCATTAGTTGAGAGTATGCACATGCACAAACACATTTAGGACATTACTTAATGAGAATATGAATTCACACAACATAAAACCTTTAAAGCATTGTTATTTTCTTGCTTAAATTAAAGAGACAATTCGACACTTTATAAACACAATGAAGATGTGTATACACCAGACAGTGCAACTGTCAAGTGTTCTTTTATGTACACACCAACATGTACAGGGAACTTTAGTATTTTTGGTACCTTCCAAATGACTAGACACTGTTGCTTGCCAGGCCTTTCGTGATGCACCACTCACAAGGAGATACCACACAGGAAAATAAAGAGGAATGTTCTCAGCCAACTTAGTAATTTTCAGAAACAGTCGTTTCTAACATGATTTAAGAAAACCTACTATTTATCATCCAAAGCAAGAATTTGACTCACAAATATCAATGAATTATTGAATCAAATTTCAAATACAGTACTAATCGAAATCTGAACACATGCTAATCTATTCTTATACGGCTTCATCTTCTAGGCTCACAGGGAGTCATTGTGGCTGTGGCTATGTAAGTATGGTGCTAGCCCACTGACCAGGAGATAAAACATGTTTAAACACAGGGGTCCCTGGTTCAATCATGGTTTTGGCCGAGAAACATCCTTGGGATTTTCTAGCCTGGTTTACTATTGTCAGTGGAAAAGGACAAAAGGCCTGGCAAATGCCAGACGAAAATGCCACAGTCTCTGCTAAATTTCCCTCTTAGCACATTAGCCTTGTGACAGCAAAGCAGGACGAACCCCATTTATTTCTAGACCGAAAAAGAATAAAAGAAAAACTTACTGCACTAGATGCCTTGGCATTCATTATCTGCTAATCCTATATTTCTACACTAAATTATATCACCATAGAAGAAGTCATATAGGCAACTTTTTATAATTTGCAGTTCTCGATATCCAGGAGTGCCAGCATTTGAAACTTCATTAATCCATGAATTATGAATGTTAGCACATTAAATCAGGTTAATTCTGAAATACAAAAATCAAAAACATATTAATATTAAACATCATTTACATTGGTTTTCAATGAATCATATAATGGTCTTTGCGTGTAATATATGTAATGCATATATTCTGAAATGCAGATAATTTTTGCCTGTATCCAAATCTCTTGAACTGATTTAAATAAAATAACAAAACTTGTTAAGATAGGAGTTTTCTCACATATATGTAAATACTTATTTAGAAGCTTTATCCTTTTACAAACAAACCTGGTAACATTCAATCTAACAATATGAACTTGTGAGTTGTGGATATTTACAACATTGGCTCTACTGAATAATTACAAATATACAAATGACCATAAACGTCTAATTCACAATTTACTTGGGATCAATATCCTTCCTCCTGTATGTGGAAGATGAATACATAGCTAATCAGGTTTCAGGTGAATTAAGAAATGAAATGAAATGAAATCGGGTTTAACATCTTACTGTTCTGCTCCGAATGGGCAAATGCAGACGGGCATACACCATACAGTGTGGTATGAGGAAAAGTTGGCCTTGACAATGGCACTACAGTCTACTCTTTTGTCAAACTTCAACTGTCAAGGGATCTTTTACGTGCATGCCAATCCGTGCCAAGGACCTTGTTTTTGTTTTTTTTGTCCCATTCACAAAGTTTGAACATTCTACCTCAATTATTGTGTTCTAAAGTCTCGACCAATCAAATTGCTCATCACTCTGCTTACCCTCAACAGAAAATACTCATTATCAAACTTAGTCAAGGTACTGATGTAATGAAACTATACATCTAGTTTTCATCACTCTCACTTAATTAGACAAAGTGAAACAAGGGTTATAACTCTAGAAGTAATTATATGTAATGCTGAAATTCAATAGGCTTCTTTGTTTCACTAATTTAAATGATGCGTATAATTTCCATACATTTCATCACTCTCACTTAATTAGACAAAGTGAAACAAGGGTTATAACTCTAGAAGTAATTATATGAAATGCTGAAATTCAATAGGCTTCTTTGTTTCACTAATTTAAATGATGCGTATAATTTCCATACATTTATCATTAGAGCTGCGTTCACAAAGTGCAACAAGAGCCACAACTCCGGAAGAAATCGAAATTGCTGAAATTCAACAGGATTCTTAATTTCACTAATTTAAATGATGCGTTTAAATTTCATATAGATCGAATGATAACTTTTGTTATTAGAGAAATGAAATGAAATGAAATGTTGTTTAATGGCACGTCAGCTCCAACCGGACTATATTGCGCCAAACATATGGTGAATCTAACGAGACAAATTAAAACAATATCACATAAATGAATTTATATATGTAAATAAAAACAAATATCACAGAAAATATATTAATTAAAAGTATTCAACAAGGGCCATAACTCCAGAAGAAATTAACAGGATTCTTCGTTTCACTAATTTAAATGATAAATATCAATTTCATACAGATCAGATGATACCTTTAGTCACTCCAGCGTTCATAAGGTCCAACAAATTAAAACAACGGACATAACTCAACAAGAAATTATTGAAATTAAATAGGATTCTTCATCTCATTGATGTAAACAATATATCAATTTCAAAACAATCACTATCAGATGATAAATGGAGTCTGTAGAGAGTTCACAAGAAATTGTGGACAACAGACATGTACAAATGTGGGCGACGGCAATTTACGCCATTTCCATTTTGATGTATAAAAAGCGAAAAAGGGCCATATCTCTAGATGCTGAAATTCAACAGACGTTATTGTTTCACTAGATGCTGAAATTCAAGACGTTATTGTTTCACTAAATTAAACAAAGAACATAAATTTCAAAACTGTTTCAACATAACTTTTGGTGAAACATAGTGTTCAAACGATTCTAGTGGACATCAGCCATAACTCAATAGGATTCTTCTCTTCACCAATTGGAAAATTGCATAACAATTTCAAACAGAACAGATCATAGCATTTGTTGTTAGATATTAGATAGGTCACCAGATTGGAAAAAAATGAAGGGCAAAAGCAATTCAAGGCCACAAGTGCGAAACTTCCAATCAATAGTAACATGCAACACAAACCAATCACAGAAAACTTAATGGGTTTTCACATTCATGGTGGGTGTATAATAAAATAAAGAATGAAACACAATGTGGGTGTACATGTATATAAAAATATATAATGAAATTCAATAATGTTTCATGACACATCACCTCAAACTAAGAATATATTGTGCTAAAAATATTTTAAGTAATTAGGATAGCTTGAAGCACTTTTAAGAGAGAGAGAGAGAAAGAGGGAGTTTAACCTCCACTCAACACAAACTAGGTCATTTCGGGACTAACAACTGGTTCAATTTATTTTCAATAATTTGCTTGTACATAGGTTTTTTTTTTATCAGTGGGGGAAAACCGGAGGACCCAGAGCAAACTCACGAGGTTGGACAAGCAACCCTACTGATTGTCACGTACAACAGGAGAATCCATGCCAGTTGACTTAATGGCAGGCCTTATGATATAGCGCGCATGCACTAAACATTTGGCAATCCACCCCCCTGAAGCACCTTTGAAGATTTTTTTTAGAAATCTTTTGTGTTTTTTTTGTGTATTTTATCATGGTTTTCTGGGGGGAAATTTTATGAGACTTCGGATTCTCACAAGTTCTATCTTCATTCTACACATGGTAAAGAGCTTCGACTAACTTGATTAGTAAATCTATCAAATACTGACAAGAATGATTATTTTTCTCATAGTAAATTAGTTGGTACTCATTTCCAGGGTGCTAAAAAAAAACCCATTGCACTCTTATGGAGAGCTGATCTTTTTTTAAGACCATTGGGTGGCATATTGTGTTTCTGGTTTAATGAAGTTGCGAGCTGCTGTGATGGAGTGACCTTTAGCCTAATAAAAGAAAGGTGTGTGGGAGTTTTGACCAAACATTCACCTGTAAGGTGAGACAAAATTCACTGGTAGATGATCTGGAGGAACTAGCAGATAATTGTTGATCTACTTGAGTTCTACTGGATACCATGCTTTAGCCAACAAGTTCACAAATTACTCTGTAATCAAATAATGTGATGAACTGTCGCAACAGATTTTTATCACACATATTATTTCTTTTATTTACCTCGTCATGTCAAGAACATTTCATTAATTGCATGAATCAGCTTAGTCAATCCTTTGTTATTTAATATACAATGCCAGAGAGAGAGAGAGAGAGAGAGAGAGATGGGGATTAACATCCACTCGACACAAACTATAGGTCATTTTGGAACTAACATATGGTTCAACTTTATTTCAAGAATTTGCTTGTGCGTAGTGGTCTAGAGGTGTGGCAGGAAAGGAAACACAAGGTTGGACACGCGACCTACTCCTTGTCACAAACAAGCGGGGAACCGAAACTATGCCACTTGAATCAATGACAGACCTTATGATCTACATGTAACATGCACATGTTAAACCATTCGGCCACACAGCTCCCCTAATATACAATGAATGAATTAATGAAATGAGGGTTTAACATCCTACTAATGAAGATGGGCAAATGCTATGTGCAGGTCAAGATGTCCACAGGACTCACTTTTTCATCCCACCTGAACGACTAGAAACTGTTCTTTCACATGCCCTACGTCCTGCACCACTGACAAGGGGAAACCAAACTGGAAACTTCTGAGGAGTTTTCTCTGAATTTCGATTGTGGCCCTCCACAGAAATATCAATTTTACCCCCAAAAAATCATCAAAAACTCTTAACCCATAGAGTGTTTACAGGAATTGTTGCAAACTGACAGAGGTGACATACATACTAAACTAGTACTTTAACAAATGGAAAGTTAGGCTTAATTTAAAACACAGCAGTTTTAATTGAATTGTTGACAATAACCAAAATGTCTGATAGGTAATTTACCTTTGTACCTTTCATATACTATTATAAGTAGATATCAAAGCAGTTTTATGATATATCAGCAGCTAGTCTCTTATAAAACAACGGACTTTCATTTATTAAAACCATATGAGCATGAAGCAATTTAAGGAAACCTGTGAACCTGTAATGCTGAATATTATCGTAGCAACATCTGTTCCTAACATCAGTAATCTGCAGCAGACATATTTTAAGATATTTAACAATTTTTTACATATTTCTTTATTATGATCAATCTCTTTTTAATTAAACTGCGCTCAAGTTGAACCGCAACCCCATCAGTCAGACAGGTAACAGCTGAATTAGTTAATCTTCTCATTTGCTTCATTGGATCTTTCACTTTAAATGGTGTGGAAATTTTCACTAACCTCTGCCACCAGCGACCAGACATTGACACCAGAAATAAAAACAGGTGTCACCTTTCCGGTACACAACATTACAGGTATAGCAAACAACAAAATAGAATTATATCTATTCTTTATCTATACAAAAGTTGATTTGATATTTAATGGATTGATCAAGTACTACCACTTAAGTCTTGTTGATCAGCTTAACTTGGTTTACCAAATAAACATCTTATTTTTTCTCAATAGTTTGTGACTTCCATTCAATATTTATATCACTGTGTGTGTTTCTACGATTCTATGCTAATATATTCCTCACACCAAATGTTGTGGATTAATTATTTGAGCCTAACCCAAATAAACAAACTCTCAGGATAAACATATAAAGCTGCCCTTAAAATAACAAACCAGGGGCAGTGTGAAAATAATTTTGTTTGATATTACCTTTAGGGTAGAAATACGAAAACAAAGAATTATATTCCTGTTAGGGAAGATATTTGTTTCGCATTTGTGAGACCTGTTTATAATTTCAAATTTCTGTGATTCAAATTATTTACAAATATGTCTAATTTTGGCATTTGCATGCTTGACACATCGACATCTGACAAACTTATCATTTGTAAATTTCAACCCAATTTTCCATAATTATATGGTGATTCTTTTTCTATCGGAAAGACAGCCCTAAGCAAAATGGACTGTACAATTTAATCTTATAACAATTACCTTCAAATATTACTGACCCATTCATGA